CCATGTTTCCTTATTAATGTTGATTTATTGACTAAGCAACCATAGTTATACCAGTAGTCCTCAGCTTACAACCACAATTGATCCCAAAGTGAAACATTTGTTAAGCAACTCTAACCCTAACCATTTTATGACCTTTCTTGCCACAGTCGTTAAGTGAATTACTGTAGTTGTTAAGTTAGTAACACACTTAACTGAATCTGGCTTCCCCATTGACTTTGCTTGTCAGAAGTCGCAAAAAGGTGATCACGTGACCCCAGGAACACTGCAACCGTCATAAATATGAGTCAGTTATCAACCATCTGAATTCTGATTATGTGACCATGAGGATGATGCAACAGTTGTGTGAAAAACTCATAAGTCATTTTTTTTAGTGCCATTGTAACTGTGAATGGTCACTAAGTGATTGTTATAAGTCGAGGACTATCTGTATTATATTCATGATGCTCCATTCCTAGCCTGGTTCTATAGATTAAATATTTAAATAATGCAATATTATTATGGTATAATTATTATTCAACTATGGAGAATTTAATCTGCATAGATAAGGTGTATGTAAATTTTATATAAGAGAGCAAACTGCAGCAAGGATGGGAAGAAATTTTCACCAAGTAAAGTTGTTCAAGAAGAAAGAATGAATTTCCTTATTTCTGGTACCATGACCCAACTCTAGATCTGTTTCCTCTATCACCTTCCACCTGCTTATTATTTGTCAAATTTCAAAAGAACAAATCATCATACTGCTAGTAATATTATTTCTTTGTAAAAAAAATGTAATCAATCATTTCATGTTCATGTTGTGATTTAATTTTATTATGAACCATTTGAAGGCTGCTTTGAATATTTAATATAATATATTTATCTTTCAGATATTTTCATACTAAGCTTCCCAACCTTCTTAGGGTTCCCTCCCAACTGAAGGCCCCCCAAATTGTTTCCTTAATTAAAACAACAAGGAACTAAACAGAGTTTGTATTTATAATGGATGTTTTGTCTGATGCAAACCAAAAATATTGATAATTTGCTTCCAAAATATGTTCCAAAAAAGTGATAGCTGAACCCTAGCAATAAGAATTTACATAACAATTCTGTGATTTAAAGCCACATTTGATTTATATTTGATTTTAATTTTTTTATTAAAACCCATATAAACCAGATTGTAATTTTTCATATAAATGGAAATAAAAGGAATTCCCAGTGGTCTCAGCTTGACTAGGACAATGATAGTGCCAGGCTAGTCATCTTGCCTGAAAAGGATACTCTTATAAAATTCCAAGTTTGTTCCTCAATCCCAGCTAGATGGCAGTGCCAGCAGGTAAAATCAAGCAGTAGTTATGTGCCACTCCAGACTGGAAGTGCCAATGCCTGATAATTTGATTGTCATAACATAAAACAGACGATGGTTTGGGAAATGATCAGCAGTGTATATAAAGGGCTGTTGGCTGTGAAGCATTCATTTGGGAAGGTGTGAGTTGGCAGGTATGATGCTAAACTCTCGGGCAGGCTTGTTATCTAAATTAGACAAAAAACAGTTCCAATGAGNAGTTTGGGTCGTTAAATGTCCGCCAGAAAACAAACACGGCTCGGAGCACCAAGGACTCCTTATAGGCAAAGTTGAAGTTGAAATGAGGCTCAGAAATTTGCAGAAGTTAAAGCCAACCTACAAGGGAAAACTGCTGGTAACAGAATTTCATTTTTAATGTGGGCCAGTGCGCTCACAGTAAAAAATGATGACAGAGGTTATCTAAGTGGGCTAGACTGCCCAGGTAGATTCTGAACATCTGGGCGGCCTCATCTTCAGGTCTGCATACAGGCGCCTGGCCGGAGTGGGCCTCATCTTGGGAGAATTGTAAAGATTGCGTAAGAAACCTCACCCTGGAAAAAATGACAACAGATTCCCTTGTCTCTGTTAGTCTCAGGGCATCATAGGACAATGAGGGAAGACTACGGAGAAAAAATAAGAATTTGGAGCCGAAGTCCCCTGCGGCAACAGAGAGAAAGACTTGAACCGTCAGAAATCAGGAAGCCAGGTAGATTTTAAATTCATCAACCGGACTTGTGGGTATCTTGATTGAAACCACCAAGATGGGAATGGCTGAAAGTACATTGCAGGTTTTATTGAATAATCAAACTCTGATTTTAAATCGTGTGATTTAAGTATCACCCTGCTTGCAGGGTGACTGAAACACCGTTACATATTATCCCACTAAGTTTTTTTTTCCTGTGCCACAAAGAGAATAATTGTATCCTATTTTTATATGACTTGAAAACAAGGGAAAAGTTACAATATCGCATAATATAAAACATCCTTCAATCTCCTGCACACTTCCTTTGGAAAAAAAATAAAATCATGGCTGCCAACCTAGAAAAGGTTCTTGGGAAAGAATGAAATTGACAGCGGAAATTGAACTGACATTTTAAAATTTCCCAGATCGCTTTTAGCCTGGAAAGTTTTAAAAGTGCATCTTGTCAATTTATAGTAATATATTTCTGTAGAACCCAAGAACAGCTTATGCATTATAATTCAGTTATAGAGACCACTAAAGAAAATAAAATCATGGTGTTCTGCATAAACATAAAATTAATATGATCTGTGTAAACATATAAAATTCTTTTTTTCTTTTTTTCAATGGCCCAAAATAATTTAAATGTTTTCATTAGGGAAACAAGGCTGTTCAATTTTGTTGACAGTCATCTAATAAACATCAGGCAGGCCTTTTTTTCCAGATGGAGACACAGAGAGTAAGGATGTCTTCCCACAACCGGATATCTTCCAGATGTGCATGTTTTAAATTGTCAGCAGGGGTCTTGATGGCTGAGAATTTCCCCATGTCTTAGTGAAAGTCATCCACGCGGTTTTGAGATTTTAAAACAATCAAATTGTAATCAATGTACAATGAAGTTCCTTTGTCACCTCTGAGGTTGCCCTTTTTTTTGTCCTCCCTCTGCAGTGAGAGAGGAGAAACCAGAAGAAAAGGATCCTTTGTCAGATCTACAGGATATCAGTGACAGTGAACGAAAAACCAGCTCAGCTGAAACATCATCAGGTAGCTTTCGTGCGGGTGCCGATACAGCGCAGCAGCTATGTTTGAGCCCACTGGAGATTGTCAATTCTTTTTTTTCTCCCTCTTTCCCAGGGGAATCAGGATCGGCTTCAGAAGAAGAGGAGGAGGAAGAGGAGGAGGAGGAGGAAGAATCCAGCAGCGAAGAGTCTGAGGAAGAAGAAGAGGAAGAGGAGGAAGAAGAAGAGGAAACAGGAAGCATTTCGGAGGAAATATCCGAACAGTCAGCTGAAGAGGTGATCAGAAGGAAGAAGGAGAGCCCAACCGTGCCAATCTCCCCCCCCCCCAAAAAAAGACCCCAAAAGACAATTGCTCACCCTTCTC